GGGTAGGCTGGACAGAACTCTATTAAAAGAAGTACAGCTGACGCTTGAACTCCTTAGCCCAGGAGGCAGGTCTTAAATAACATCCTGGTCCCAACACTAACAACTTAGCTTGCCTGCTCTGTGCTCACTGGGCCTCCCGTTGTGTGGACAAAGCCAGCTGTTGAAGTCTGAATCTTAACTCATTTTATTCCTTTTGAATTTTCCACATAAGATCCCATTCATGAGCAAAATCCTATTGGTAAAGTGGTGCTTATTAAGTTAAAAAAAGTTATCATTTGACTTTAAAAATGTATTCATAAAGTTAGCTCTGTTCCATCTGATTTTGAGGTTGAAAAGAAGAAACCTTGTAGGCCAGTGGTTCTCAACCTTCTGGCCCTTTAAATACAGTTCCTCATGTTGTGACCCAACCATAAAATTATTTTCGTTGCTACTTCTTAACTGTAATGTTGCTACTGTTATGAATTGTAATGTAAATATCTGATATGCAGGATGGTCTTAGGCGACCCTTGTGAAAGGGTCGTTTGACTGCCAAAGGGGTCGTGACCCACAGGTTGAGAACCGCTGTTTTAGGCCTTGAGGGCTTTTGATGGTCCTGAGTTTGTAAACAGGTACTTATTATAACCATGGTCCTGGGACAGACTGCAAAGCAGAAAGGTCTGTTGAAATGGTGAACACGTGATGCGGGGGCCAAACTCCTTTTCATCAGAGCAGATAGTCTCCTTCACGTGTCCTGTGGACCGTCTGTCTCTAAAAGTCTACCCCAGGCACACCTCTCCCCCGGCCACTAGAATTCAACACATTGCATACCTTCAATCTGTCATCTTCCCACTAAACCAGCTGGACCCAGGCTGTGGGAGCCATACTTGCATTCTGAAGTATTTTCTAATTTTGACACTTACAGATATAATTTGTCTATATTAAGGGATTCCCTGCACTTTCAACATAGTTATAATTTAAGCATGGGATACAGTTGAGGTTGAAAATTATCTGAGTAATTTTTGTTTTTGGGGGGAGAAAGTTTTCACAAGAGCAAATATGAAAGGAAATCATGGGTTAGCCTAATTTCATGAGGTGAACAGGAAAAAAATCCCATCGATTTTCATAGTATTTTGAGTGCTGAAATAATACATGAATGGGGAGGAGCGGGAGAAGGCAGCTGACGCTCACTGAGTGGGGCCTGTGTACCAAACACTGCTGCAGCTTGCTCCTTCCCCTGCTAAGAGCATTTACGCTCTTTCCTCCTCTTTGTCTAGTCCTCCCTCTAGTTATTCCGCGCCTCTTCCCCGTACCCTGACCCACTCACTATTTTCTGAACAAACCCTGAGGCTGATGGAGCAGAAGGAGAAGAGCAAAGCAGCCTTGTAGGACCGAGAGTGGATTGCACTGGGAGCCTGCTGCCAGCTCCAGAAAGATGGAAGCGCTCACTGGATTTAACGTTAGGTCAGTGGTCGGCAAACGGCGGCTCGCTAGCCACATGCGGCTCTTTGGCCCCTTGAGTGTGGCCAAGAAGTTTCAATCGCACTGTATGTGTGCACCCACACGTAGTATTTTGTGGAAGAGCCACACTCAAGGGGCCGCAGTTTGCCGATCACTGTGTTAGGTCACTGGGGCCCTTTCCCAAAGCATTTCTGTGTAGTGGCTAGAGAGGAAACTGTATTTGGGTAGGTTGAGAATTGAACTGACGGTGAGTAATTTGAAGTATAAATTATTTTTATGAGATGTTTAGTTCTGAAAAGGAAGCAGTAAAAAGAAAGTCAAGGAGCTTCTAAGGCAAGTTACAGTGGGGCCTTGACTTACGAGTCTCCCGACTAACGAGTTTTTTGAGATACCAGCTGTCTCTCCGCCGATATTTTGCATTGAGTTGATAGAGTAATTTGAGTTAACGAGCTCCTTAACGAGCTAGGTCTCGGAATGAATTAAACTTGTAAGTCAAGGCCCCACTGTATTTTGCAAAGGTGCAAGGCAAATACCAGTACGGGCCAATGGGGAGAGAGAGGCCAAGAGCACAGGAGAGTTTAGTGTATGGGTTGATGTTGATGCGAGGGCTGCATTGCTGTTAGGAAGAGGGCTACCTTTAAATATTTTGCTATGCAAAATTACTCCCTCCTTTATTTCTCAAAATACCCCTGTTGTAGAAAAGGAAAATCTTTTCCTCTTAAATTCAGCAGCTGGGGCCTGCAAATGAAACTGACAAAAGACAGAGTAAGGGTTTATTTTGAATGCACACAGGCCTCACAAAAAAGAAGGGAAAGATTTCTCCATACCATTTTAACAAAAGGCTGTAAATTATGGAGAGTGATAAGCACAGGAGAAGGGGTTGGGGCTCCTAGGGGTAGTATTGCGGGAAGGTGGATTTGCAGGGTAAACAGTTGGAAGATAAGGGCTCTTCTCCTAAGGTTTGTTTGTGCAGAGTCATCTCTGTGCCATCTTTCTTTCCCCAGTGAGGAGGGTTGTTCTCTTTCTGGTATGGCAGAGAGGAGGCCGACGCCTTCACAGGGGGAAGTTGAAGCTCTGCTCCTGGCTGAATGCGGAGGGCAGCGTCTGCTGTTTCTCACTCGCCTTCACTGCAAAGTAATCCAATGTCCAAGTGGCATCTTTTGAGGTGGCGTATTCTGACCCCCTTCATTATGAACCAGATAAAGGGCAGTGCCCCCATTGTACACAGGGGGAAATGTAATCAGGCATCTTGCCTAAGGACTCACAGCTTCTAAGGGATGGAACTGGGATTTGATCTGGGATCTATCCAATACGAAGGTTATTGCCTTTCTGCTGTATAACACAATGTGGGGGCTTCTGCATAGAAGTATGTTCTCAACAAACAATTCGTGAACTCCAAGAAGTCGAGCGAGGCATTGCTCCTGCGTGAATTATGTCCTGCTAGTTCATTGGAGACAGGGTCCATGCTCCCCTTTCTGGTCAAGAGCCTCATCATGAGCTGCATTCTGATGTGTTGTGGGATACAGTCATGCAGTCTAATTATGGGTAATGATAACAGCTGTCAACTTGATCATTGGCATGGATGTAACAACAATACACCAAGATGCCATGTACACAGAAGTTTCTCAGCTCATAATTCCAAAGTTTTATAGGGTTGAATTCAGAGACGAATGATTTGGCATTGGGAAAAGTCATGGGACAGTTACTCAGTATCAGATGCTTTTTACGATTTAACTGCTGCCTGTCTCCAGGCTGAACTGAACTCTGGAAGGCATTTTCTTTTCACAGCCACAAAATGCATTTTGATATGCAGCAAATAGCATGTAGCTGCGGGGGTTCCTCAGTAAAACACGATGAAAAGAATCAGTTGAAATTTTCTTGTCCGTTGATAAACACTTTGCACATTATTTCAGCCAGTTCTAATTGGATTTATTTTTAAACCACGTCTCTGTAAATTATATTGACAGTAAACAATAAAATCAGATGATTATTCTAATAGAGAAAACATAAACACATCAAAGCTGATTGTTCTGCCTTGTCCTGGCCTCGTAGTGCCTTGGCTGAACCCTATTTTCTTTATGGGGAGTCACAGGGCCCTGGAAAATGCTACTCCAGGAAAGAAAAGACAGTTGCCATGCTAACTGCATAGTATAAAATGTTTTAGGGTCAAATCCCCAGTTTTAACATGAGAAAGCTTTATTGTCTTTTGGAATTAAATCAGGGTACAAACCATGCCAGTTACATTCTGAAACACATCAGATACATGAAAACTGAAATGTGAAAATTCTTCTAACATACTTGAATCTTCTTCCTTCCCGTTGATATTGGGCTGGGCTCCTCCAACACATAGTAGTTGCTTCAGCAGTGATGCCAGTGTCCCATCTCGATAAGATATGTTTATCACTCTTCTGATGTTGTTTTGCTCTGAAACATGAAGAATGAGCTCAGTGCCTGGCTTGTGCGCTTCTGGACTGGGGGAGACTCCAGGAGCAGCAGGTGCTGTGGCCTGCTCCTGCATGTGCTCCCAAGCCTGGTCCATGGCAGATCCTGACGGTGGGCATTGCATGGAACTGAACCATAGGTCTCATGTCTTTGTACACAGCATTGCACCTTCATGTTCTTTCAGTTCTCTATCCACATAGCAGCAACTCATGAACATGCCAGAACTTACAAGTGTTCATTGTTAATGAAGATTTGCTTATGGAAAGGTGAGGGCCCCAAGGGATCTAAATTCCTTGTCTTTTCATTTGAAAAACACATCAGAGACGAACAGGGATATGCCATCTCCCCAGAGCATGCAGTTGAGACTTTAGAAGGGATGGGTATGGTCTGTCTGGGGGTGTCATAGTAGACAGTGACAATATGCTCATTTTGTTGGACTTGGGACTTGGAAGTGAAGGGGTCATTTGAGGAAATAAGATGTTAGATGGTGTTTGGGTGTTCCAAACTTCCTTTTGAAACACCGCCCCCTCTGAGAGAATTGGCCTAGTATGAAATACCCATGCATTGGGGCAGCATCAGGCGAGTTTCACAAAATTGTTGCATCTGAAGTCTATCCAGAAGTGTTGGCATGAACCTGTTGTCCCCCTCTGATTGGTGCCTTTTGAAATTTACTTTTAAGAATAAAATGAAATTGTTAGTAGCCAGTCCTACTGAAGAGTGACTGTTGAATAACAACCATTGGCTCTTTGGAAGCTGTAGGCTTGTGTCTGCAGGAGCTGAGACAGGACGTTGTGGCCATCACTCGTTCATAGGGTCACCAGGAGCTAGAGCCGCCTCCACAGCACAGAACACACACACATTGGAAGACATAGGGTTCAATTTTTCTGCAACCAGGAATGTTAGTGAGAGTGTGCCACCCGCTCTCGTCAGCAGAGAGATGAGAGTTTACCATCCTTTTCTCCAGCAGATCAGCCTGCAGAATGCCCTATGGACCTTCTCCCCAGCCCTTCACTGAATGGAGATGCAGAGCAAATGTGTCAGCAGAGGGTTTTCAGAGCCTCCTGGTGTTAGCGAGAATGGCTACAATTGAAGTTCATTTTGTTTATTTTTCTCCCCAACAGGTTCTTAGCATGATAATCAATGCAGCTTACAAGCCTGGGAGGGTATTGAGGGAATTACAACTGGTGGAAGATCCACACTGGAATTTTCAGGAGGAGACGCTGAAGGCAAAGTAAGTGTTTTTAATTCTGGGAAACAAGGGTTTTTGTAATAATACTTGGCCTGCTCCTTTGAAACTTGTTCCTCTTTAAAAATTTTTTTTTTAATTTATTGATTTATAGAGAGGGAAAGGAAAGAAGAGGAGAGAGAGAAGAGAGAGACATCATTTTTTTGTTCCACTTATTTATGCATTCATTGGTTGCTTCTTGTATGCGCCCTGACCAGAGAGTAAACCCACAAACCTGTGTATTGGGACAGTTCTCTCACCAACTGAGCTACCCAGCCAGAGCCAGAAACTTGCCGTCCCTTTTTTGGACACAGCGCAGGGAAATGGCAGCAGAAGGAATGTCGCTCTGCAGTTCTGTGTGCTGGACACTGATTGTTGGCATTTGCTGCACGGAGTTGTCTTGAGCCTGAGGATTCCTCGAGTGAACTAGAGCAGTGGTCGCCAACCTTTCAAACCAGTGGTCTGTGGACCACCGCTGAACTGGAGAGTTGCTTAACTAATACTTAGTATGCTAAACATTCACAATTAAAACATGCTGTGCTCAGGTCGAATAGATCACTTAACCAAAAGGGGAAACTTTCATAAAAGAGAGAATATCCCTTATCAATATGCATATTCATTAGCAGTTCTTAATACTCGGTACTGTAAAAAGTTTCATTAAGTCAGATCCAAACATTCTTTAACGCTGAGAGTTGATAGTTTTAAAAGATAAAAAGAACCAGTACCTCTGTTTGGTGTTGGTGAATGCGCTGCGGGTTGACATGTAGTTGCTCAATTTGTTCCTTTATTTGGAAATAGGCTTATTGGAAAGGTGCTGTTTTTGCTTTCCGTTTCTTGAGTTCTGAAGCTGAGAGCACCTATGGATCAACAGGGTTGAACTCAATTGTTTAGATCCCTTTCTCCAGATACATTTTTGTTTAATGATTGCTTTGGTGTCCTGGGAGGCCTTTTAGTATTCAGTTACACTTTTCAAATAGAATAGATCTTACTGATCAGCTTCTTGTGTAAGTGAACTAACATTGTTTGGATGTAACATGTGGGAAATGATGCTGTTTGAAAGAGTGAACCACTTTTCAAAGGCCAGCATGTGTACAAGCCCTCCTTTAAAGAGATTACATGCCTTATCCAAAGTGAAAGTTGAGGGATATTTAAGGTGTATGAGCAGTAATTATTTTCCCTGTAGTTATCTTACACTGGTACTAAGTAGAGATGTTGACATTTCAACACTTTTTGTCATTTACCCACTCAGCACTTTCTAGCGTCTGTTTTGAGCATCTCTGTAATTTTAGATTCAGCAAAAGTCACTTACGGTCTACAGATATTCTGCCAAGTCACAAAAGTTAAAGGGAATATATATGCAAATAGGAGACTATTTCTATGAAATGGCGTGTGAATGAAAGGTGGCACCATAGCTCATCCTTCATTTCTTTCCCAAGAAATATTTAAATGAGCTTCACATGTAACCAAGGAAAAACGAAAACAAGTTTCTTACCAATGTAATATTCCATATATTCCTCCCTTACTTAAGGGGATGACCATCAGCAATAGTAAAATCAAGGGCAGTTCATCATAGTAGTGATGGCAGAAAATCTGAGTAAGTATTTATACAGAAACCATTGTTAATTCTTATTTTTAAACTTTCCTATAACATTCAATACATCCGAAATACACTTAATGGATATGCAAATAGTAGAAATAAAAATTAAAAACCCTTACATTCTATTAAAATCTCCCTTGCTCCTAAGTTAGCCAGAAACTTGCTCTAGAAACCAAAGTGACAAAGGAGCACTCATTTTGCAGTATTTGCGCTCATTTTCCCGTCACCACGTCTATCGGAGCCTTCATTAAATCCAGCCTGATTCAATCAATACAGACACAGCACGGCTATATTGTAAAGGTGGCGAAGTGCCTGCTATATCCGATGTGACAGGGGGTTCCTCAGCAAGATCGCACACAGCAGCACTGGGGAGCAGGGCTGTGAACTGGGTTCGAGTGTGCGGGATCACAGCAGCCTCTCACAGCGGCTGCTAAAGATGACAGACTTCCAGGGAACGGGAACATTTTTTCTCACACTGGGTATCGAGTCACCTCTTTCCTCCTGATGTAAAATGACAACTTTTTAGATCCTGACAACTTTGCTATTTCTTTAGTTCAAATGGGAAGAGAGAGAGAGAGAGAGAGAGAGAGAGAGAGAGAGAGAGAGAGAGAGCTGGCTTCTGCCCTGGGAGCTGAAAGGCTGGTGTGGTCTCTGTCATGAGTAAATTAACTCAGCACGGAGACCTGCATTAGGGCATCCAGCCACCTTGGTTGTGGTCCGGGAAACTATAACATCACTAAGAATGTTTTTGGGAAGAACGGGCATCAGACCCTCCACAGGACTTTCTGCATGCTGTCACTGAGCATCTGGGCTTCTAATGGGTTTTACTTCTACAGCAGGGGTGGGGAACCTTTGTTCTGCCAGGGCCATTTAGCTATCTATAACATCATTCTCAGGCCATACACAATTATCAACCTAAAAATTAGCCTGTTACATTTGGCCAAACATTTTATTAACTCCCTAATACCTTGGCAGGGCCAGAGCCAATGATTTCTCAGGCCTTATACAGCCCGTGGGCCAGACACCCCTCACCCTGTTCTACGAGTAAATAAAGACCCATTTACTTGAGAGGGTGGAGGTGCCGTTGAAAAGGTTTGACTTGTACATAGAAGGAAAGCTAACACTGTCACCTGCGGTTGTTCCTCAGTGTTTATTTTTCTGTTTGTCCAATAACCGTACCCTTATAGTAAAACAAATCAAGGTAACATTTGATCACTGTGTAAGGAGTCTATGATATTATGAGTCTTTAACATGAACTGCAAACTACTGGTATGGTGCGGTAGTGCCAAGGGAACAGTGGACTCAGATGCAGTTTGTTCCAGCTGTTCTGGCAGAGAAAATTCTTTTGGGTGATACTGAAGTGTACTAATTGACCTACATTATTTTGAATTTCAGGAGGAGGAATTTAGGCTCTACCTTAGTGGGGATAAGAAAAACCTTCCAATTCTATGCATCTAGAGACATTTAAATATTTTTTCCAATATGTTACAGAAGCTTGGGGGCGGGGGCTTTTCTTTGAATGGCTTTTGTGATCGTCTTTACAAAAGCCAGGTGGAAGCTTAGTAGATTTTCCCAGTTATTTCTTACAGTTATTCAGAACTTAAAGAGGAGATATCCTGATATAATTTCAAGTAAATTAGTCTTCATTATCAGCTAGGCAAAAGCGAGGAGTTAGTCAAATCTCTACTTTTTAGGTAAGTCATTCTCGGATTCACTGAAAAGATTTTGGTTTCTTGTTTTTCATAAGCAGTGACTAATTTTGTATATGTTTTTATTTTACTTTTTCGGGGCCTTTTTTTCATGCCCATATTTTATGAACCAGTTAAATGTAATATTTGGCTGTAAGGAGATTATGTGAAAAAGGATTCTCAAACAGAGACTTTTTGCTGAAAAACATTTTGTTTCCTCATTTGTTAATTTTTACCTTGCTTAGTTGTATGCAACTCGTTCTGAAAATGTATACTGTACACATTACACGAAGCAGGCAGGTGAAGGGGGATGTGGAAGGACGGCTGAATTTCTGTGTGTGGGCTTCAGTTCATCTGATTATGGGCGTGGTGTTGCTGGTTCAAACACAGATGTTGTCTTTCTAAAATAAACACCCCTCTTCTCCTCCCCCCCGCCCCCCCGCATGTATTGCACAAAGCTCTCAGCACTTGCAATGCAGGGATCAAGAAGGAAGAGAGATGTTTCTGAGGAGTTGAGTATCAGAAGTCTGAGAACCAGTGAGGGAGCCAGCATATTGACCCTGGTGTGGGTGGTGTGCCCCTTGAAGTTTGGAAGGAAATCAGAGCCAAATCTCATTGTGGACAGGTTGTGAAGCTTCCCTATTTCTGCAGAGTTATTGGGGTTACCCCTTTCCCCCCTTTAGTTCTTTCTTTAATAAACAAGGATGTGGTTTCCGCTGGACAGCTGATACCTTGCTCACCATTCCCACACCCCTCTCACTGCCTACCCAAATTTTGGGAGAAGGTCCCGATGTGAGTCATTTGAAGATGAATGACATGACTTAGGCCAACTGGAGGGCATCCCACGTGGGCCGTGCTGATGGTTCTGGGGATTGTCAGGCCAGCGTCAGTCTTTTAGCTCTATTTCTTTTGGCTCAAAATCCACTGTGGTTTTTCTCAGCTCTTTACTGGAGGAGAAGAGACCATTTTTTCCAGCAGTCTTGTTCCTCCATCGTCACTGTCTTCCTCCACCCTGCCTTGTGCATGCACACGTGGAAATAAGTCCCTACTTGGGTTGGTGCAAAGATATCGGAAGGCCACTCACGCTTCCTTATTGATGTCATGGAGGAGAAACCTTTGCTCTACTTCTTATGTTCAGTACTTGGGAGTCTGCAAATTAAACTGACAGAAGACAGGTTAGCCAGAGAAAAGACAGTTTACTTACAGGTGCAGCATGTATGCAGGCAGGAGTGCCCCATGCTGAGTAACCCAGGGGGCACTTAGGATTTGGCACAATGTATATCTGCATGGGACTTAACTTAGTGGGGGAAAGGGAGGGTGCAGAAGAGGACTCTAGGGGAAGAAGAGGTGGATTTCTTTAGGAAAGACAAATGTTTTTTTTTTTTTTAGAACAACAAATGGGAGATAAGGAAGTTTGTGATAATGTGTGTTTATGTGGTGCGAGCCTTCTTTCTCTCTTGGCCATGAAACTCCTGAGAGGGGATTTATGGTAGGTTTACTCTTGGTCTCTCTCCTGCGATTAGAAGCTGCCTCACAGAGGGAATTTATGGCAGTCTTCATTGCTTGAAAGTTTCTGCTTTTAGTCAGATAATGGAAGCTCCGAAAAAGCTGCCCTCTGCATCTGTGGAATCTCACATGCCTTTGTCTTACAATAATCTTTATATCAGCCCTGGGCTTCTGAGTGGGTCCCCACATTGGCAGCCAGGGAGGCCATCCCCGTCGGTCCGTCTGTTGTTCTCTGCTCCCTGTACTGTTTCAGAGTGTGCGTCTGAGATGGGTGTCATCTCAGCATCTCCTTCTGTGCTCCAGCCCAGCAGCCTGTTACTTCTGTCCTTCCCTCCTCTCTGAAATTGTTTACAATGCCTGGGAGTTTTCTCCTGTGTACTAGCTTGTTTGTCTCTTTAAATATCCGCCCCCTACCCCCTACGCCATGCCCCCCCCCCAAAAAAAAAACACACCAAAAAACAAACAAAACAAAAAACTTGAATACTTGAAGAAAATCTTATCTTCACGTGTTTACAATAGCCTGGCTGGGCCATTTAATACATTATATGGCTCACTGTTTTCCTCTCCAGGTTCACAATGAGAGGCTAAAGGGAAAGGCATTATCCCAGGCTTTTGAGCTGTTCTCACAGTTCCTGCCTACAAGGTTATGTCATTGGGATATCGCTTTTAAACCTTTAGTGGAATGAAAAGCTACAGAGCAGATTCTGATTTTCACCTGTGGTAAAATAAAGGCAGTGCAGTGCTGAGGACTGTAGCTTTCAGCTTCACCTGGATGCCTTGAGTGCTGCCGAAGGTGCCAGCTGCCCTCCCACATCTGCGTCTGTCAGGTGGGGCTGCTGACACCTGTCCATTCGTCTGTCTGGAAGGTTGTATGATGATCACGTGGTGTAATGTCCTTGAGAAAATAGAAATGACAGTATTGTATACACGCAGCTGTCTCCTTCAACCATTGGGCAGAATCTTAGAGCTGCTGTTTGCTTGTGTGTCTTGGTAGGCCAGGCCAGCGCCTCTCTAAGTTTCACAGGCTTTGTTAATAAAACAGTTGTTTGAACAACTGTCCTGATTCGTCGACCAATTTCAAAAGCCAATTATTGCTTCAGTCTGGATTCGGATGTTTCAAACAGTTTTTCTTCCACATTTGTGATCATAACTGAAAATGCTCCCAGTACTAATCGTGCTCAAAAATATGCATTTGGTGGGAAATATACATTAAGCTTAATGTTGTCTGAATCATTGTATAAGACAAATTTTATTTTTATGGTTTTTTAATGTTTATTTTGAAAAACCTCAGCATTACAGAAATATTGCAACTATAAGATACAAATGGACTATTCTTTTTCCAGATCAATTTGGTAGTAAATCGTTGGCCTGATGCCCCAGCCTCCCCAATATACATGGGCAACCTGGCTCACACCACTTTCTCTATGTTTATTTGATCAGGCTCTGGTGTAGCACCAGCCTCTTTTCACTTCGTTCTTCCCTCACCCCACTCAGGGGCCAACTCTCAATGCCAGGCCTTCACACCGACGCACGCCAGCTATCCCCCAGATGCAAATGTCCTCAGAACACAGCAGCCTGCACAGAACACAGCAGCCTGCTCAGGACATAGCAGCCTGCACAGACCATAGCCGCCTGCACAGCACACAGCAGCCTGCTCAGGACATAGCAGCCTGCACAGACCATAGCCGCCTGCACAGCACACAGCAGCCTGCTCAGGACATAGCAGCCTGCACAGACCATAGCCGCCTGCACAGCACACAGCAGCCTGCTCAGGACATAGCAGCCTGCACAGACCATAGCCGCCTGCACAGCACACAGCAGCCTGCTCAGGACATAGCAGCCTGCACAGACCATAGCCGCCTGCACAGCACACAGCAGCCTGCTCAGGACATAGCAGCCTGCACAGAACCTAGCAGCCTGCACAGAACATAGCCGCCTGCACAGAACACAGCAGCCTGCTCAGAATGCTGCCCTATACCCTCTCCTCACCTGCCTCAGGTGCAGATCCTTCCAGCTGGGGTTTAATTAAGGAGGACGCTGGGGACTGACACCTGTGGAAGCAGAGGAAGAAAAACCAGATTGGGCAGAGGGAGGCACCATCTGTAGCCTGTGGGCAGCTGTTTAGAATGGCCCTCCATGGTTTTCCAGAGCTGGCCCAGGTGGCCAGGCCTTTTAGCTCCTGCCATAATTAGTCATTGCATGGAGGCTGTCCGTGGGAAGGCAACTTTGCAGTTGGGGCAAACTGAAAGGGACGACATCTGGAGGTTCCCGGCCAGCAGCACTGCTCAAACCAGGACAGCACGTCCTTCAGGGAAGGGGGGTCCCAGCAGCACTCAAGTGTCCACACCCCGGCCAGGATGCTGCGGATCCCACCCTGCCTTCCCCAGCTGGCACTTTCCTTGCCCAGTCCCCCCACCCTTACCACCACTGCCATAGCTTTTAGAAAGAATTGTTCCAAAGGGCAGGAAAGAGGTGTGTGTGTGTGAAAGAGTCCCTTACCTTTAAACCATACTAAGTGAAGAAGCTAGGAGGTAAAAAACAAATACCTTATGATCTCACTTACATGTGGAATATAATGAACAAACTAAGCTGATGAGCAAAATAGAAACTGAAGCATGGATACATGTAACAGACTGACAACTGTCAGAGAGGACGTGGGAGGGGTGGACTAGATGAAATAAGGTAAAGGATTAGCCAAAGAACATCCTATATAATAAGAGAGAAATATGCTAATTATCTGTTACTCCGTAACATCACAACCAATCTACAAGTGGTAGAGAGCTACAGGAAGGCACAGCAGCCAGCTAGCAGGGGGGAGAGCTACAGGAGGGTGGGGCAGCGAGCTACAAGCAGCAGAGAGCTACCAGTGGCGGTGGGCGGATGGCCAGGTGAGGCAAGTGGCAGAGAGCTACTTGCACATGGATTCATGCACAGGGCTACTAGTATATGTATAATCCATAGACGCAGACAATTGTGTATTGATGGCCAGAGTGAGGGGGGTGGGAGGAAAGATGGGGAAGGAAGTGGGTAAAGGAGGGAAAAATGGGGACATCTGCAATAGTGTCAACAATAAAAATATAGTTAAAAATGACTAATTTTATTTTCATAAATTTAGATTGTTTTTTTCCTAATGGTGAAGGGTTGTACTGAGACAGTCTTCCACTGAATCATCCTCCTTCAGAAGAGGAAGAAAAGGCCACCCTTTGTTCGTGTCTCAGGCGCTTGTTCCCTTTCTCCTACACCCTCTCCTGAGCTTTTGGAAGTGTCTGCTTGCAAATCCGCAGTCTGGGAACAGAAATAGCTGTCTGTGTCCCCTACTTCCACAGTTTGAATTTTGACCTGATTTTACAGTTACACTTTCTTACCTTCTGTTACTTTACCATTTTATAGGGACTTTAAGAATCTTTATATTGAGCTCTTTCAAAGAGAGAGCCCCAGGAACACTAATATTGTGGTGGAAAAAAAAATCACAAGAAAAAATGTCGAGTAAAACTGTCTTTTAATTCTCTGTTTCCACCACCATTAGGATATGCTGTGTTCAGAGCTGTGCTGTGTTTATGAAACACAAGGGAAGCAGGAGCAAGAACCACCCAGAGCGGCTCAGGAAACCCCTCCTCAGGGCGGGACACACTTGCTTCTATACCGAGGGTCCATAGCGGTCCTAGAAAAGTCAGCAGTCGGACAAGGCTGTGGTCTTAAAGCATGATCTTGTCCACAAAGTTCTTAATACCCAGAAAGTGCAGCTTGGTTTTCAAAGACAGAAGGACAAGAAGGACAGAGGGACTGGGGCAGGAAAGACCAGTGAATGAACATACAGTTTTTCCAGTTTAGAATTTAATTTTTTAGTTGTTGATACTTTAAAAAAATGAATTTCAGGGGAACAATATTTAGACTTCAGAAGGACAGAAAAAAACCAAAATCCATTTATTTCCATCACCGTATTCTCAGTGAACCAGACCTAATGTTTTGAACTTCAGTGTTTTATTCACAAATTGCAAAGGTAATGATCTCCTTATGTTACACTCCCGATTGCACGAGTTGCCTCATGTCCCTGTGGTGTGTGGTGGGTTGTCGGAGACCTGAACCTGTGTGTGTGTGAAAGAGCAGGTGGCAAAGAGTTCTCTCACACCGTCACCTCACTAGTGGGCAGCGAATCTGCATTCACTTAGCTTTCCAAGAACCATGCCTGCTCTCTGCCAGAGCCACCCCCACCTGCTAGTTTCTGGAAAATAATTTCTTGTTCAAGATTTCAATTTGATGCGTTCTCATTTCAGTGGACTCTAAGTTCAGTGAATGTGAACTAAAAGTAAGGACCTATGATCTGCTGCCAACTGGAAAGTTTATAATTGTTTTATACCAATGATAGTTTAAAAAAATATATTGAAAGCTGATTCAGACCTATTTCCAAATGCTCATCCTTTCAAGCAGGCATTGTTTACATCGTAATTTACCATAAAAACAGGGTGTCCCCCCCCCCCCGCAAACAGCTGACAGCTCCATTTTGAAAATGAAATGTATTTTAATAAATGCTGCCTTTATAACCATTCAAAGTGTGTGTATATGTTTTGGGGGGCATCTATGTTTGGAGGAAGCCTGAAGGACTTATTTTAAAGCAGAACCCAACCTGCTTTCCAGAAGATCTGGTTCCTCATTTTATGTTGGTGATTTCACTGCATATGGTTTTTCTTGGGCAGGAGAACGTTTTCTTCTCAAAACTGATGAGCGACAAATTACGGTATCTAGATTCTGGAAGCATCTGGAATTGGTGTGAATAATGTATGCCAGCCACAGTGAGAATATGCTAAGTGGAAATCTTTACTGCGGTGATTCTCTTAGCACTGTCAGCACTGGCATTTCTTATAAATATTTGTGTGAGAACATAAAGAATGATAAAAACAAATGACATGGAAATCACACAGAACCTGCTTTATTGTCACAAAATAAAAGGGTACTTTAGGAGATACTGTACAAACTAGGTCTGAGTAATTCTGCAGTCTTGCCAAAACTTTTTCTTCCTTCCTTCTAGGTACAGAGGCAAAACATACAGGGCCGTGGCCAAGATTGTACGAACTTCTGACCAAGTAGCAGACTTCTGCAGACGGGTCTGTGCCAAGCTAGAGTGCTGTCCAAATTTGTTCAGTCCTGTGCTGGTTTCTGAAAACTGCCCAGAAAACTGCTCCATTCATACCAAAACCAAATACAGTGAGTACAATAATGAACAGAACATTGGTCCCTGGGCCTGAAATATGAGGTCAAGTAGTTGATGTTTGTGGTATTTTAAATAACCTTTTTAAAAAACATACATTTTTATTAACTTCAGAGAGGAAGGGGGAAGGAGAGAGAGTTAGAAACATCAACGATGAGAGAGAATCATTGATCGGCTGCCTCCTGCACACCCCACACTGGGGATGTGCCCTGACTTGGAATTGAACCATGATCTCCTGGTTCATAGGTCAACACTCAACCATTGAGTCACACCAGTTGGGCTTACTAGTAAATAACCTTTTGAATTATTTTTCATAGGAACTGCTATGGAAGAACTCTATGATCTGCTGTGGCCAATGCTTCTGTGTTTTCCAGCTTGGTCTAAGGAAGGGGTGGGTGATTAAAATCAGGATGCATGTCACTGGTTGGCATTGGCGATGAAGAGCCGAGGGTGTATCCACTGACATGCACGTCAGGGCATTGGTTGATTCGGAAAACTGTATGGCTGAAAGAAGGGCACAATAAAACACGTTATTGGTAATGGCTAGTCACCAGAACTACTTCTTGGTTTTTAACTGAGCAATTAGAATGAGTCTTTCATCGCCTTTTTTACACGGGCAACGGCCTTGTCACAATCTGTTTCTCCCTGTTGATGCTACTTTCTTCAGACTCTTGAGTGGAGTAGTTGGAGGGTGCAGAGCTCTCTTCGCTTTCTCTGTTCCTGACTCTGCTTCTCCACCCGGCCTGGGAGAGTTGCTACCATGGCCCAGGCCAGGTGTCCTCTCCAGATGTCCCCTCCTTCGGCACTTGCCTCTTCCATCTCCCCTTCAGTTGGTCACCTCTACCTTCTGGAGTTGCTCCCTGGGCCCTGTCCTGCCTCTGCTCTGGTCTCACTCTGCACTGCAGACAGTGCGAGCTCTGAGAACTCTTTGATCCTGGCTTTTGTTCCTCTGTGTCTCCCTCAGTTATGTCTAATCCAAGGGGTGTCTCACCCTTGTCACAGTGACCTGGGAGTTTGTTCTGCTGGCCCAGGTTCCAGCCCATTGCTAGGGTGTCACCAGGACCCACAAGCACGATCGGTGCTCTGCGGGCCCCGCCCAGATGAGATTTGTCAACTCGTGTGTCAGGAACCTGAACATGCTTGAAACACTATTCAGAGTGTGAATTTCCTATATGATACATATCTCCCCCTTTCATTCTGCATACATGGTCACTCATGGACAAATCGTAGGAATCCTCTCCCCACCCCCTTCTTGCCCCTGTACTTTATGTCCATGTATGAACATGTGTGTAACCTTTAAAAAAACCTTTAAATTCTCTGTCTTTTCTCTCTCCTTGTAGCCTATTATTATGGAAAGAGAAAGAAGATCATTAAGCCCCCAATTGGAGAAAGCAGCATTGAAAGTGGACACCCTAAGCCAGCCAGGCGTAGGAAACGGCGAAAATCCATTTTTGTGCAGAAGAAACGGAGGTCTTCTACCGTGGACTTTGCGGCAGGCTCGGGGGAGGTATGTTCACCTGGAGCACCTCCCAGCTCTGCATGGGGACGCAGGGCCTGGTGGGCAAGTCGATGGCCTCAGTGGAAGTCTGTTCCGAATGGTTGGAAACAGGAGATACCCTCTTCCTCATTTGCTGAAAACAGATTTAGGGTGTCAGCTGCTCCAGCTGGGGAAGGGCAGCCGCTGGGACCCTGGTTGGGACCTGCAGATCAGTCAGAGGCTTCGCCAGGTGCTTTGCACGGAGCCACCTGGACGGGAAAGAGCTCGGGTTAGAGCCCAGCCTCGCATGTTCACGAAGGCTCCTCTCATGTAACTCCATTCCCGTGTTTCCCTCCTTCCCAGGAAAGCGAGGAGGAGGATGCGGATGCCGTGGACGATGACACAGGGAGCGAGGAAACCGGCTCTGAGCTGCGGGACGACCAGACAGACACCTCTTCAGCCGAGGTCCCCTCTGCCAGGCCCCGAAGGGCCGTCACCCTGAGGAGCAGCTCTGAGCCCGAGCGCCGGCTGCCCGTGGAAAGGACGAGACGAGGCCGAAGAGTGCAGGCCGCCTCCTGTGCCGAGGGCGGCGACAAGGGCCCGGCAGCCGGCCAGGACAAGGACACAGCACAGGTAAAGCACATGGGCCCTGGAACTGGCTTGCCTGGGCAGAGTGTTGAAGAAGAAAATGCGTTATAGTTCCTGGCCTAGACTTTGGGCCTCCTCCAGCCTAATTCTAAGTCAAGGGCAAAAGGCTTGGTGATTTCATATCTTGACCGAGTGGGTCAGTGAACATCAGATTGGAGTTCTGAAGGAAGGCTTTAAAACCACCAAGAATTCTTTCAGGAGCACAGACGGAAGTCCTCAAGGCCCCATTGAACACTAGACTTTCCCTTTATAGGGTACTCTGTGTTGCCATAAAATAGTAAATCAGCCGGGCAGGTCTCCCCTAAGCCCACGGTGCCAGATGATCAGCCAGCAGGTCACTGACACCATTGTCCCCCAGACAAGTGGGGGAATAGCTCACTGTCTTGTGTACATTTGCAGATGCCCCTTATTATTCATTTCTCCTATTCAATCAGCTGCCCCAAGTTTTCCTGAACTTGGGATTCAACAGCTACTCTCACTGCCTTTAAAAGATATTTTCCCTCTACAGGCACACATATCATTGGAGGCAGTCACAGCCCAGCTGAGTTGCTAAGAAGGTCCCTAGAAAGTGTCTGTGGCTTGTCCTGAGAGTTACGAGAGACTTTAGGGGGAGTCCCCTCAGGGTCCAGGAAGGGTTAGAGGGGACCCCAATCACCATGCTGGGAAAAGATGACCTCCTGCTTCCCTCATCTCTGCAGGAAACAAAGCAAGAGGAGGAGGAGAGGCTCATTCTGGAGAGCAACCCGTTAGAGTGGACAGTGACTGATGTGGTGAGGTTCATTAAACTGACAGACTGCGCCCCGTTGGCCAAAATTTTTCAGGAACAGGTACGGTGGTTCTGTGGTGTATCTGCTGTTTTTATCATGAGACTCTGGGTCGCATTTAAACTCTCTGTTTTAACTGGCTTCCTGAGACACAGCTTTGGAAGGGGAGGGGGCACTTCTTCATTACTTCTGTGTGGGGGGAGGCAGAAGCCTGAGATCCACATATAGTCTTCACCAACACCTCCTTGGAGGACTCTTTGTGGCCAAGTGGACATGCAAGTCTCGGCTCTCCACTTGACCTTCTTAGACACCCCTCTTCTGGGGACTTGGTGCCACCTCTGCTGGTGATGGTGGCTGGGCCGCTTTGTCCTGCAGGGGAGCAGTTGTTGCCTGAAAGGCTTTGTCTCCCTAGACTACCCCTTCCCCAGTCCTCTGGCTAGAGGGAGCAGGTCTCTGTTGGGCCTCTGGTCGTCTGTGCCTGTTGGCATTTCTGGGTTCCCAGCTTCTTTAGCAATAAGCCTTGGGTATAGGAGCCAAACAAAGAAAGCCCAGAGCACTCACCACCATGTCATATCTTGGGCCCCACAGTCCTAGCTGGTCTGCCTCTCTCCACCTTCAAATTCCTCTTAAGTTTGTTTATTTATAACATCCAGGGCTTTTCGTTATGTATAGTGGGAGAAATAGGGAAAAATATGCCAAGTCAATTTTCCCAGAAGTAATTTCCTATACTGTTTTCTTTCTTGCTTCCCTTTGGCTTGGGAAAGTATTTTAAAACCCATGGTACTAGTATGTTAGGTGGGTATTGTGCTAATGATGGATAAATACACAAACAATTGATGCAATCTCTACCTTACAGGCATTTTAAATTTAGCAGATGAGGTGACTGTAACGTGTTAAAATGTAAGATATGCCATGATGAGCCATAGGAAAGGATGGTTTTTATTTATATTTTCCCTCAAATTAATATGCAAACCAATGGGTACTCTGTAAACCCATGCCCCTTTGCAGACTTCTCACTGGCCTCATACAAAAAGTTCAAGTTTAAGCCTGTGGTACGTGCTCTGCTGGGTTTGTTTAATTTGCTAAAATTTCTTGCATTGTGTCACAATGTAAATATCTGTCTCTCAAGACCCTGTCTATTTTTCTTAAAGTTTCCCATAAAATAAATCAAAAATATGTCTATCCAGTCTTTTTTTAGATCACACAAACCAATAGTCCAGAAAAGGGGCAATTCAAGCAATAAATCAAGAAGAAAAAAGAAAGGCCTCTGATTTCCCATGCTCCCAGTGAATTTCTCAGCTTTTCCCCCCAGTTCACCATAATGTGGTAATGAGTTGTGCAAAGCCAATAACTGTGGTTCCCAGCTCCTCCCAGGGGAGAGCAGTGCTTTAATGTTGAGAGGTCTCCGATTGACCACGAGAATCTTGTATAGACAACCATAAGTGCACCCTGAATGAATGAATGAATGAATGATCGGTGGTGAGAGGGCAAGGTTGCCTCCTGGCTATCTGACTGCATTTCCTCTCTGGGTGACACTTAAAAGCAGACGGGGAGGAAAAAGCTTCCTTAGACACAAGGAACCTGGGTAATGAACGTGTCTCTTCATTAAAACAAACAGAAAAGAGAGAATTACAAGAAATGTGAGGACTTACGTGACTTGGGGCATGCTGATCAGCTATGTCTCTGTCTTGAGAGTGAAAGTACAGCAGAGCTTTGAAATCTTGCTAAAAGCATTGCATTTGAATGCATGACAAGTGCAGGTATAAAACATGACGCTGTAATGCATATCTACTCATTCGTATGTGTACCCTCCACATACACTGATGGAGCCTCAATAGTCAAAAGGCAGATGGGAAAGGTAGCAGTCTCTGTTAGTCTAAAGTCTTCTTTTTGTTTTATTCTAGCCCCAAATTTAGCAGATGAGATGACTGTAACTCATAAATGAAAAATATGTCTCTCCAGACTTTAACTGATAAATGTTTTTCAATTGGTCCTAACACAGATAGAGGGCGGAGCCTCTCCCGCCTCGATGCCAGGTTATCCGTGGAGCTCGGACCATTTGCACTGTGAAAGGTTAACAAGTTCATGCGTTGATTCCTTTTACAAGTTTCTAGGAATAAGCAAGTGAAAACAAAGCTGATTTGGGAAAAAGACTCAAGTGCTACGTATGCTGAGTCTTTTTTACTTTAGTGCTTCTAAGGCCTGTTTATAACAGCATCTCAGAAAGTTCCTTGCCTTCCCAGGCTAAGGCTTCTAAGACGTGAAGTATTCCCGGCAGGTTGCCACTTCTAGAGCCAAGCAATGGGCAGGGCGCTCCCTTCAGTTGCTCTTCTCACACCAGTTGTAAGCTTGATCCTGCATACCTGCTTATTTCTCGTGTAGAGAGAAAAATAGGTGGGCTTTAATTGATAATAGCCTCATTGCTGTTCATGTTAAATTTCACTATAGGCCATTTTGCCTGTCGTGATAGAAGGCTGTTACCCCCCTGTGCTACCTGAAGCACCGGGGCACTTGAGTCCTTTCCTGTTCAATCAGACCTTTCATGACTAATTTTTACTAATTTGTTCTATCATCTTTGAGCCCAAAGGCCACGGCTGTGATTGGTGAGGTCTCCAGTGGGACACTCCAGGTGCTGTGTGAATTGTCAGATGAACTGGAAGGAGCCCAGGGTCTTTATTCACCAGCATGTGAAAAAAATCGCAGGGCATGGAATGGTAATCGCTATGCCAGCTCGCTCCTCTGAATGTTGTAAATTCAGAGACTATTGTAATCACCAGGAGTATTTATAGAAATTATAAACTTCCCATTACTGGAATACATGCCTTATAATTTTGAAACATTATGGCAACTGCTTAAAAAATCTATACTCTGTAATTTCATGCTGTACAATGCATATTAACCACTAAAACCCTATACGTCTATAACTAAACAAACACCAAACTCTCAAAAAAGTTTTGCCTATTCATTCGCCTTTTATGAATGAGAGACATAGAATAATCAAAGAACCAAATTAGTGATTTATTTTAATAAAAATTTTCAGGATAATTTACAGGTTCACTTTTAGACTATTCCCTCCTCTTTCTACTTCAATAGACTTGAATGTTCCCATTAAGAAACTGCCATGTCCTATACTGACCTCTGTATCAAACAAAAATAAAGTTAATTTTGTCACGTGCTAAGCATAACTTTCACGTTGTGAATTCTATTACATTTCATTTTCTAAAAATTAGTAGTCCATTTGTGCTAATTCTGTGTTGAACATGACAAGTGATTTGCCAGCAGTTCTGAATTATATGAAAGTACATTTGTAAAAATTAAATTAACTGTGAGGTCTGTTACTATAAAATCAGTGGAAAGAAAAAAACCTTTTTTCAAACCAGAACAACAGCTGCATATGAGAGGAACTGCCAGGTGGGGTTCCTCCTGCATTCCTTGACTCCTTGCAGGGTCATGTGAGTTTTGCCAGCTTTGCCTCCATTCCCCTCCCCCCTTCCCTTTCCTCTGTGGGGACCCTGGAGTGGATTGGGGTGATGTGCAGCCTGCAGCATGAGATAGACATGTTGGTCAACCACATTGGATCACAGTGGCTACCACCATTGCTCTCCCATACCCGTGACAGGTCGCTAAATCTAGTGCTTTCAACAGGCAGCACGACACTTTGGTGTTTGGAAATCAGAGGTCTGATTTTATTCTTGGTAGTATATTCTTCTCAAAATAAGAATATCCTAGAGTTCTGTTTTACATCATCATGGAAGATGGTGAATGAGGTGAGAATCCTGAGGCCCTGAGGGGGCTCAGTGCAGACAGCCTGCGCTTTAACCACTCCTCCCACTTGAGGTATCTGCCCAATTGTTGTCAGTTTTGTCCAGATAAAAAGCTGATGTGCAGGATTGCTGTAATGAATCAGATGGTTTAGCCTTAATCCACCTCCGCCCCATAATCTCTATCTTCCTGCAAATAGGAACGTCTTTGCAGACGACGTTCAGCTGGGTTTCCCCCAGATGTGCAGGGGCTGCCATGTGGGCACCGCAAGATTCACGAGAAGCGTTTAACTGCTCTGAAGAGGGAAGTTCAAAAATGCGCACTTGATTCCAACCATCCAGGTTGCCCACATTTGAAATTCAGGCCACAGGGAATGGACTTTCCCCACTACCCCACCCCCAATTGTGACCTCAAAACGGAGACCTCTTAGAAACTTCAGGCACAGTCCCCTTGATTTCCACGGGCCATAAATACTATTCTGAATTTTGTGTTTCCTGTGCTCTTAGTTGATTTTTTTCTTATACACAGTGTGCCTTTCTGCTAGTAGTATAGGGGGTCCCCTTTCCAGCACACTTCTGTGTCAACACTTAGTACTGTTAGACCTTGGTTTTTGTGGCTATAAAATTAAATTGTATTGTGGGCCTAATTTGTATTTCCCTGTTTCTCAGTGAGGGAATTATTATCTGACTAATTCCTTGATTCCTTAATAATTCCCATTGTTCCCTCAGGTTTCAGCTTAGGTAACACCTACTCTCTGTAGCCTTCCTGACTCCTCTAAGATCAGTTCTGTTGTCCATTCAGTTTGAACCTGTAGCTCTGTGCCCATACATTAATCTTTCTACATCATAATGGCCTGTTTGTCTGCCTCCCTTGAGATGCGTTAGAGTCTCCTGGAAGGGGGCGGTCAATCAGTGTGATTCCCCCAGAGATTATCAGAGTGTGTCTCGCACTTAGTAGATTCTCAGTAAATGCTTGTTGAGTGAATGACATCTTCTACTTACCTGCGTTACATGCCTGTGGCAGCCACCATCACTGAAATTGTCTACAGAGTTATATTTACATGTTAGGGCTGATTTTCAATTGTAATTGTTTTCCTATGCCCAAGGATGGCCATCATGACTAGGTGTGGATGTTAACAGCTGAGCTATAACTTTTCCTTCCAAAGTTTAACACCACAAACACATGATTCTAGTTCCAAGGCTGTCTCTAACTAGGTAGCTTTTTGGCATCAGTTTCCATCTTTAAGAAAAGCTTCCATTTTCTAAAATAAGTTCAGGTCTATTCTATCCTGTTCTGTCAATTTCATTGAAACTAATGGCTAAGCCTCCTGCACATAGTTTTATAACATTAGTCTTTCTAAGGCTAACATTCATACTCAGTTTGGTTTTTTGTTGTAGATATTTTCAAGACCATTAAATAAACCATTAGTTTAAGCAATGAACACCTATGTGACATTCACTGACAGGTGATGTCTGAGTTCATGCTTGCAGTTGCATGACAATTAAGTCTCCATGACAGTTAAGTCTCCGTGGCTATGGCAGCCCTGGGCACACTATGGCTCCCCTTGTGGCAGAAAGTCTGGTGTGCTAAGTGTTGGTTTATGCTCTCGTTCCATGCCTGACCTTTGTCATGACCTTGGGCCCACCGTCTCCTGGAGCCTCAGTATTCCCTCTGGAGTAGGAAGAGTGTCCCGGTGAATGGAACGAGGGATGGTAGTTACACTCAGTTACTCAGTCAAACAACATCTACTTAAATGAACCCAATTAGTATAGAACCAATCAGGGGAAGGGGCAGGAATATCCAGTGGTGTGATCCTAAAGCTTTGCAGTGAGCCTTCCTTCTGCAGCCGGTGCAGTATCACTGACATTTAATGAATATCGTCAGTGTGGGGCCCCTGTGTGTAGGCGGAGAAGGACAAATTAAGATAAAAATACAGGTAGCCCTTCCTTCTGGGTGATGTAGGTATGTGGATGTAGGTGTGTGTGTGTGTGTGTGTGTGTGTGTGTGTGTGTGTGAACACCTGTGTTTTCCTGAATGGAAAATTGTGCTGTGTAGCTGGTGTATTTTTCTAGCATCTTCTCACCATTCTGATGGTGAAATGGAAGACCTTTTCTTTTAGTGAAGAGCTTTTTCCTTTAGTACAGAACCCTTTTCTAGTGCTCAGATTACATCACAGCAGAGCATAGGAAGGACGGGGCCTGGGGGTGCGGGGTGCTCCCCCTGCAAGGGGCAGTGAGCTTGGGAGGAAGAATTCCTGAAGCGGCTCACCTGTTACAGTGCTTCATCCCCACCCGCCTAGATGTGACTTTCAGAATAGCCAGATATCTTTTAGCAAAAAGGATGTGTTAACAAAGAGATGAGACAACCATCCAGCCAAGTGGCTCTCTCTGCCCTCGCTCTCCAGAAAGAGAGGAGAGGAGAGCAGCCCCTCCCGCCCTGGACCCCGGGGTGTAGGCTGCTGGGACTAAGGCATTTCTTTGTCCCCTCGGTGCTCACTGTCTGGGCTCTAACCCGGCTTTATTTTCCAACAGGACATTGACGGTCAGGCGCTGCTGCTGCTGACTCTCCCTACCGTGCAGGAGTGCATGGAGCTGAAGCTGGGGCCCGCCATCAAGTTGTGCCATCAGATCGAGAGAGTTAAAGTGGCTTTCTACGCCCAGTATGCCAACTGACTCCACCCTCTGGGGAGGTGGCCCGTTGTCTTGGTGATACAGTGTCTCGGGACGGGGTCCAGGACTGGAACTTTTATTTTTCCCTGGATACGTGAGATGGTTCATGCAGTCACTGGGAAGCGCGAAGCACGAAGGACCTCCTTCACCCTCCAGCCTGTTTCATAGTTCCATGTGTTCACAGCATACACCAGGACCACGGCAGTGGCCGTTGGAGGGTGTACATTAAAGTTCTGTGTCAGACCCTGCGGGATATGAAGAGCTTCTTTGTATAGCCACATCTCGCCTTTCTCCCACCCCAAAGCAGGCGGCTGCCTTCAAACAAGGTCCTAAACCAGGGCCCATGTTTCTTTGAAAACACCTGATGGTGCAGTTGATGTCTTTTCAATGTGACCGAGGAGGCTGCCTGGCTGGTATTTTTTGCTCTACTCATTCTCAGGCACATTCATAGATGCTTTTTTGTACCGATACACATGTGACTGTCACCACAGTTGGATCTTGGTGGCAACTAATTTCTCAAACACAGCTGTAGGCAATGTTTCAGGACATAGCTATAAAGAGATGGGCTAAACCTGCGTCGCTTGTCAGAGGTGCCTTTTAAGAAGTCTGGGGGGGGTGAAGGAAGGCGGTGTGTCATGGCGATGAGACCATTTTCCTTGAGTAATGCACGCCTCTACTTGCAGGTTCTTTTATGGGATCTCAGATCTCTCTCATGTTCTAATGGAAGTGTGACTATATCTGGGAGGGACTCCTTTAGTCTCTTGGGAAATGTTGAGTTGTTTATTGAAGGAAAAGATTAATTTCGGAGAGCAGGAGTGGGAAGAGATTTGAGAGGAGCTTTTTACACACCAGCTACATGCCCTGAGCAGATTCTCTTTGAAGGCCATTCTCAGGGCTCGGCCCTGGCCACTCGTTTACAACAGGCCAACGCCTGAGGCGGAGCGAGCACTGGACCTGAGTCAGGCCTGGTCTTTACCTGGCGCGGCTAATTACTAACTGTGATCTTGGGTAGTGATCACTCTGCACCTCATTCCTGCCAAGTGACAGGTTGGGACACTTAGGACTGCAGCAGTGAGCACACGTTCTCCTGTCTCCATTCTGCTCCTGCTAAGGGAAGAGTCCAGGTTGGCCAAAATGAGAAACAGAGTAAATGGGGAAAAGGGGAGGTCCCCATAGCTTTTAACTCTGTCAATCCTGCAGCTCACTCTGGCTTTAGGTTCTTAGGACATTTCTTGGGCAATGTTTATTAAATTGATAAAGAAAGATCTTCGACTCTGAGAATGGTTGGTTGTTTGTACCAAACACTTCATGTGTGTATGCCCCCGAGTGATCCAATATGTATATATTCAAACCCAGATGGACTATTCTCTTCTGTTATGGTAGTTGCCCAAATACCTTTTTTAAACTTCACGTTGTGCAGGAGTGAACACCAAAGGCAGAGGCTGCACACCTTCAGTTACTTTTTCACTGTAATCACCTTGTTCTTTTCGCTTTGATCAGAGTCTCAACAATCCCACGAATACCATGGCAGGAGCCTGAGGTTGGGGGGCTTATTAGCTGCTCATACTTCTGCTACATTTTAAGGCAGGATTGTCAGATTTGGGAACGTTTGATTACTAATGCCAAACTGTACTAACATTCTGCCACTGTTCCAGATGAAAATGGAAAACAAATATTTTGTGGATGAGACATTTTCATCTCCCTGTAGCCGATTTCTACAGTCCAGTTCAAACATGTGGCAGATGCATTTGCCTGGGGACCACTGACGGAAGGACCCCTGTCTTAAGCACGGTTGTGAGGATGGAAGTGTCCGCAGTGATTCTTGCTTGGCTTGCAGTCCATTCTCTCTTCTAAGCGAAAGTTCCGACCCCCTCTCGGTGTCCCGCCCCTGCCTTCTCAGCCGCGTGCTTTTGGCCTTAAATGCTCGGTCTTGTGGAGTTAAACTCTGTCCAACAATTGGGAAGGGTATCCATTTCAAGATCTTGGCATTCTCCCTGTGCTGACTCATTTATGGTCTCTCACTGTGGCCTTTCCAAGCTCAGCTCTTTCTGTTGCATTTGAAACTGGAAGGAAGGATGTAGCAGCCGAAACCCAGCAAGGTGCTTGCAGCACGGACGTCTCCTTCTCATGCCCTCTCAAGGATGACACACAGGAGGAGGCGCGGCACTGAAGCAGATTTCCTGGGGGAGTATCTGGAGCTGCCCACCCAGAGGAGCTGGAAGGCTCCCGCCAGGCAGCCTGGACAAGAGCTGGCCACCACTGCTGGGGGCGCTTCCTGCTCCCCACAGGGCCAGGTGCCCAAGACTCTCCTCTCCCTGTCCCCCTCTGTGCTCTGCTTTGTGTGTGAGGAGGACACGCCTGCCACCACAGGCAGAAGGCCAGCCCTGAGTGATCACCCTGAAGTGATCTCATGCCATCTCCTGGCCCTTCTGGGAGCCAAGATAATGTTTTAGGATCAAGAAGATGCTTTTGCTCCGAGTGTTGTAATGTCCTCCTGAACTTGGGTTCTCTGGGAATTTCCGTGGTGGTGGGTATAACTTCACGCCAGTAGCAACTGGGCTACAGAACCAACTGTAAGGTGGTATTCGTTTCTCTGTACGAGCCACCTCTCTCCAGCTTCTTAGAATTAGGGCCAGCTGCCAGGAGCATTTTACTGTGCTGTTAACTGTGTCTCTTAGGGCAGGAAATACTGATGTTACACCTGTTACCGCCTCCTCCCCCAAATACTACCACAGCCCCTAAGTCAAAACGCTCCTACAAGCAATGCCCCTCCCTTGCCTATTCCAGATACTGTGATCTCGCCTCTGTCTCTCTGAGGGACCAAAGTCCTGTCCTCTGTGTCTCTGGACCCCGCACACACCATGCAGCTCATTACCTCTTGGAATGGCTGGGACGTGTGTTTCCCGTGCCCTGGGCCAGTAGACACTGCCAACCTGGGCAGGTGTATACCTTGAGAAGCAGAAATGCCACTTCATCTTTAATGGTAAAGGTCCATCATCACTCAATCCCACTCGAAATCGAAGGGAGCTTGTTTCAGCTACTAACTTCTTGACTTCATTTGTACTGTGTTGGGAAAATACTCTCCACAAAAATATAGGCATAAAAACCTAACAAGAGCAGGGTATGACCGGCATAACAGAACTTACTGTGCTTTTCAAAAAACAAACAAACAAAAACAACAACAGAAAAACAGGCTAAGACCAGTTTCCTTCACCATGGAGTTGTGTAGCTTGAAGAACTCATCCATTCCTTTTAAAATTAGGTTCATTTGATCAAAGTTTGACTCACGGTGGTGGAGCAGTACCACTATTGGTTAGGTTGCTTTACCTTATTTGATCATATTTGAAAGATGATTTCCTGTGTTTGCTTTGATTTGTTTCTCGATAAATTAAAGCGACTCAGACGTGGAACACTGCCCCCTCTGACCCCGACTACAATCTCCAGCAGGTTGATGTTGATCAGCCTTTGAAGACTGGTCTCCGTTTCCTAATTTGTCTCCTAGGATTTTGAGTGTTGTATCAGACAAGTGCTGAGCTTTTCCTTTTATCTCATACCAAACACCCCTTTCTAAGAGCTGTTCTCCCTTCGTTTTGGGAGTACTAGGTGTTTTCATTTTGTAGAACACCCATTTGTATTTATTTCTGTAATTTTGGGAGTACTAGGTGTTTTCATACTTCTTTTGTAGAACACCCATTTGTATTTATTTCTGTACATAGTACTATAAAAACAGGAGTGTTAAAATCTTTGTTGTGGTTTGAACATCGTTGTTGCTTTTTTTTGGTTAAGTTGGTAAACCTAGGTTCCAAGTACTCTATTCTGTCTTTAGAAAGCTGTGATTGCGTGTGCAATGATTTGAAGGGAAAAATAGTAACTGAAGGTGTCTGTTGTTTTTAGGATGAACTCATTGGAGAGAGATGCATACTGCCCATGTCTCTTTGGTGCAATAACTAACTAGCAACTGTTACAATTTAATGATTCTCTTATTTATTCACAGTCCTTTTCTTTTTAAGGGATTTTTAGAATCCCTTTAACTTGGTTGAATCTTTAAGTTCATTGATTTTTGTAGCTTTTATCACTATAGTTGGTTTACAAGTATCCAAAACATGATGTGATAAAATCGAATTGGGTGATTTTCTCCTACTTTGTTTATGTAAAAATTGTAATTGCTGACACCTGGGGTTTGGTTAAAAGCACCTCTAGTTTAGATGATAAATAGTTACAGTGTCCTGAGCTGCAGACTCTCCATCTTACTGCTTTTTTTTTAAATGGCCAGGATTTGGTACCGGTAAATACGTAGTCTTGTCACATAACCAAGCAGAGTGGTGCTTCCTGTGCGCCAACGAGCAGCATTGAGGAAAAAGGAAAGTTTGGGGGCAGGCTGAAAATCAACTCATGTTGGGAAATTGGAGGCAACATTTTTTAAGTGGCAGAAAAAATAATGATCTCATTTGTTGTTCAAAATGGAAGCTAGCATGATATCTGGAAGCGTAAACGGTCCCTAGTCGTGAATGTTGAAAGCCCTTTTCCTGTTTTGCATTCCAGTTTGAAGAGTTTGTGTTGAAATTTGAGTCATCTATCTTGTGTATGTTTCAGTGCATAAAAGGGAAAATTGGGGGTTTTTGCTTTTGAGATTTGCAGGACAAAAGAGCATGTTGTTGGTTTGTTGTAAGATTGTATTCTGTATATATGTTTTCATGTAAATAAATGAAAATCTATATCAGAGTTATATTTTAATTTTTATTCTTAATGAAAAAAGCCCTTTTTACTTGAAAAAAAATGTAAGCCACATTGTTAATAAAGTAAAAATAAATTCTATGGTGGTGTTTGTGTCTTTGCGTTGAAAGTTATTATTTTTAAGGTTTGTGTTAGAATTAATTTTTTTTCTTGCTATGTGCTAAAACATATGTTACAGAGTTTTAATAAACATGGCTCTCAAAATCCTATGTTAACTTTCAGGGTCACCTGCCAGCTCTGCAACATTTTACTCAAAGAGCCTGTGTTTGCTCTTTTCATTGAAACATTACTCTATATCCTGCATGCTCACCTCTAGCTTCCCCGTTTTCAGTGATTGCCATTGCTCTATGATTACCTGGTGCATTAGTGCAAGTGCTACTTTATGTCTCTGAGAAGGGTAATAGCCACATTTGTACTGATCACTGTCCTGAAGTGTCGCGAGTGAGTCTCAGGTGTCTCCGTTGGAAGAGGAAGAGGTCCCTTTGTCATCGCCCTGTCACAGGGCTCTCAGAGGCTGGTCGTGCTCCTGTCCACTCTGCCATACTGACTCAGGTAACTGTCTAGAGACAGCGGGAAGGTGAACAGGGGCAGGAGGCATTTAGGGAAAGGAGGTAGAGGGATCCTGCACAGTTTCTCCTCTTGACTGCAGACACTCTCAAGCTTCTTAATATACTTTGACCCTGCTGACAAGTTCTGCATATAGAAATCTTTGTTTCATTTTTACTCATGGGAGCTATTTCTCTTAGTAAAACCTTAACAACAAAAAGAAAGCCTCAGAGGACAGACAAAAATGGGAAGCAAATTGTTCATTTTCCCAAAATACATTAGAAGCAAATCAGGCAAGGGTTATATGCATGAGTATATATGACTATTGTATTTCTATTTGTAATGAAGATCTTTGATAACAAAGACATTTAAAGGCTGTATAATAAAGCAAAATACCAACAGTAAAACACTTTTCCAGAACTTCCCTTGCCTGAACACCATAGAACCACTTCACCAGATGCAAGTGCTTTGCAAAATGGCATTATTTTCAAGGTGTGTCCCCACCCCTCATTGCTTCCACAACATCCAGACCGGTCTCAGCACCGCCCGGGCTGGGAATTACAAACCCCAATCTTGGGAGGACAGTCCACATGCTGAGGGAATTACAGGATGTGGCTAATGTCCCCTGCAGAAGCTGGGGAACTTACATGGGAGCACCTGAGGCTTTTAGACCAAACGGACAGCATATAAGACGATGTGGGAAATTCGAGAAGTTGGGCACTTACCCATGACTTGGGATTCAATATTCTTGTACAGACAACTTGGAGCCAGTCTACAGATTACCTGGGATGGTTCCCTGATGTTGGCTCATAGTGAACAAGTCGGGAATTCCAGACCGTCCTTGTCCTGGCATTGAAGAAGTCAGACGGTTGGAAATGTAATGGATACATATGTAAATCAGGGCTGCTTCCCCCTGTACCCCCTCCCCTCAATACAGTTTGCAGGGACATTGACTTGTGCTTCCTTCCCCTCTTGGGAAAAAGGTGAGGGCATCTGTTCGCGGCATGTGCGGCATGTGAGGACAGGATGACACCCTAATGCTGAGTGCATCTGAGTGACACAGGGACTCAGTGCTGAGATGATGAACGCACCCCAGATTGCCTCAGCATCCTTGGCCTCCCCGCTGTGCAGCTCCTCTGTGGATATCCTAGCCACTGAGGCTGCTGCTGCTTCTCCCACCGCCTCCGCTGTCTTGCCCCTCCCCGCTAAGGTGAGGGCCGGCTCCCGCACACCATCTCATGCCTGCCATGGAGGCAGCCACGAGCACCCTGGCACTCAGAGCCATTGCACTGGGCTCATCAAAGCTTCGATTCCTCCCATCCTTTCTGGACTCCGATGAAGCGCTGGGCTGTGGAATGTGGCTGCTTCAGGTGACAGAACTTGGAGGTGCCAGGGAGTTCATGTCCCCTGGACAAACTCTGATCAAGGATGTGGCCAGCAAATAAACTCCTCGACCATCCCGCCTAGATGGACTTTCCCCGTGTGGTGGAGTGGACAGTCTGTCCAGAGACGTTCCCTGGCCTGAGCAGCTACCTGTGCTCTCGTGGGTCGCGGCCAGCTCTCTAACGAACTGCTTTGTACTGACTTGCCCCTTCCAGACCTACCTTCCCTCAGCCAGGGATTCCACCACCAGAGAATCAGCTTGTAACCTTGTTTTCCGGGGAGCTAGCCTGAGACAAGGGGGCAGTCATTATTATGCTTCATATACTATGTGCAAATAATAATGACAAAATATTCCAGTGAAATGCAGCCGTCACCTGGAGCCTTGTAGACCTACCAGCCTGGTGCCATTGGGGCTGCTCATGGAATCCTCTTAGAATCCTCTTAGAATTTCAGGCGTGGGTTGGAAATTCCAAGTTTCAAATATTCTTTCTGGTTATTGAAATAATGTGGGTGCATTGTAGACAATTTGGAAAAATAAAGGACAGTTATTAAATTGACTCATTATGACCAACGACCACTTTATCATATTTCTATATGTATTTATAACAGAATATTGAAGTCAAGCTGTTTAGACCATGTAAAAGTTTTTCACTAACTTATTTTGTAATGTTGTCTGGGGCAGAGTTCATGTTTGTATAGATCTAATGTTTTTATTTTAAATGTTTCAACAATTTTTAAAATAATTCAGCGTTGCAAATGTTACACCCAGCTTTGGAAAATATTGTTTTGCCATATTTACTTTGGATTTATATATTTTACAAAATCTTACAGACAGTGCTGAAACCCCCTTTATCTATGATCTGATTTTCCTTCCTTCCCCTCTTGTCCCAGGTGTAACAGCATTTCTAATTAGAGCGTGTTCCATTTCTAGGCATCATATAATCATAATAATGTACACACTGTTCTATGGGTCTTCTACATATTAGTGAGCTATTGTGCTACTTGCATCATATTTGCAGTTTGCTTATGTTTTTGCTTAATATTATTTTTATGAGACTTTTGCATGTTAGTATTTGTTCCTCATTATTTTTACTGCTGCATAAATTCGATGGAATGCATCATGATTTACTTGTCCATTCTCATACCGTTGGATCTTTAAGTTCTCTGCTATTTCAAAGAATTTTGCCGTGAAGATTTTCATGCAGTTAGTTCTTCTTATGCACACAGGAAACGGTGTCCCTGAGGAGGGCTGCCCTGGCTGTGCCAGGGGCATCCTAGGCAGCGGTTCCAGTTTGCACTCCTGCCAGGCGCGTGTGGGAGTAACCCGGCTCCGCATCCTTGCCCAGAGTTGGCAGAGTTTTTCATTATTGTCAGTCTGATGAGTGTGGAAATGGTAACTCGAGAGTTTTGATTTACATTTCTCTAATCATTAGTAAAGTTTACCATCTTTTCGCATGCTTATTGGCCATTTGTGTGTTCTTTGTGAATTGCCTGCTCATAATCTGAACAGATCCTCATTCT